GTTCTAGTTAGCTTTCTTAGACGGGCTTTAAGAACTTTCTAGCTTTTTAGAAGGGTTCTACATGCACAGCGTTTATGGGCCTGATGCCTGGCTAGTTCAGGATAGGAGTTCTGCAGGGTGTTTGTTCGGTGCGATGATCCGGGGTATGAGGGGGGCCTGCCCAGGCAAGGGTCGCAGTTGTGATAGGCCGAGTCAAGTGGGCTCTTGTCTGTACCAGCGCATGATTTTCCTGGGCGCAAATCCTAACTTCAAACAAACCTTAACATCTCACAACCTTTAGCCCCGAAATACTCTTACGAAGCCCCTATTTCAACAAACTACAAGCCTATGGCGTCCCGAAAAACCGTACACCTTCCGCCTTCAACCCCTAATACTGATCGCGAAACACCAAACCCTGAACCGTAGAGTGTTTCTGTCTTTTTTTTTCAGTGTTTTGAGGTCAATGACCGAGTCCTAGAAACGCTGAAGGCCTTGAAGCCACGAAAGCTAGGTTCTCCAGAGCTTAAAATGCCCCTTAGTCAGAGAATGGAGCTTAACGTCTCTAGCAAAGTCTGCGTAGCTAAGAGGTGCAGGGCTCTGTCAGCGGGTCAGGGGTTAAAGGTCGGGTGTTGAGGGTTGGAGTTTCGGGTTCAAGCCTACGCCTTGCCCTATTGGTTTTGGAAAGCCTATGAACCTTCATCCAGGAAATTTGACACATGCCCCGAAAACCTACCCCGAATCACACCACCGAAAACCTAAACCCCCCCGCAAGCATACCTCTGCGATTTCCTCGGTTCCGGGTCTTCGTAGAGTCGTCAGCCTTCAGAAAGCCTTCCGAATTATTTCGAGACAAACACATCCCGTCGCAGCAGCCCTTATCAACACCAGCAACTTGAGCTTCATCCTGTATAAGGCCTCCTAAGACACGAAAGTCAAGTAAACTAGCTGGAGCTTAATAAGCCTAATAAGCCCACACACCCCGTGTCTGCAGAGGGGTGCTGTTTGTGGCAGTGGTGGGTGGTTTCTCTGGAGGGATTGCCCTAAATGCTCTTTGCTCAATGTCAAGTCTCCTAGACCCGAACCGTTAGGAGTGGCGATTGGCCATCAAACACAAGGATGTCGAGCTCTCAGCGCTACTTGTGTCGGCCCAAATCTTTGCAAAGTTGCAGTTTCTGATTGGGCACTACCGGTTTGGATCAGGGTTTTTGGGTTTGGGTATCAGGGAATGCCAAACTCGCATCCCGGCAATCCTAGGCACAAAACCGCTTCTTCCAACTCAACCTCTGGAAGCTAGATATATGGGTTTTCCCTGTCGTTCGTTTTCCCGGTATGAAGATTCAGCATCCTTTTCGGAGCAGCCTTCTTGGAACAGCGTCGTTAATAGAACGGTTCTTGTTTGTGGCCTTTCACGACGATGAAGAACATGTCGACTCCAGCAGGGGGTGTCAAGATAAGGCAGCGTGCTTGGAGCAATTAATGATTTTAGGAACAGTAGCTTCGGATCCAGCGGTAAGGAACATAGGCTCACGGTTTTTTATGCACCCTGACTCGTCATGATGCATTGCTTAATCGCCGCAGGCGCAGGTTCAATCAGACCTGGAAATGCTGAATGCTTCGCTGGAGGATCTTGGCATGCACTTCATGGACTCTACTCCCCTAGACGCCCTAAACCCGACACCCTAAGCACACATCCTGATCCCGAAGCTCTAAGCATTGAGCTTGTAGTTCATAGTTATCCAAAGCCACCCACATGAGGGGAAACCCAAGCCTCAACAGATGGCCTCAAGTAAGCGGGCCATGAGGACATGTTGTTTTATTTGTTCCTTTATTTTTGGGCTTGTAAGAGGATCTTATGTACCATTTAATGTCGAAACCGAAGAACTTTGCAGTTCAAGTGGCCCAGATTTGGGAGTCCTAAGGACATGCGGGAGAAGCTGCTCACTTCTCAGGCGCGATCTGTCTTGGAAAAAAGAGAGCTATTTTTTGAGACGGCCGGGTTCGGCGGAGGAGTATTGCGGGCCTCATGGGGCAATCAAGGTATTTTGAGATCTATGGGGCCTATGAGGTCTTGTATGCTTTCGGTTCAGATGTTGGTGCTTTGCAGTTGAGGGTCTTGGTTAGAGCTTTTGGCTTTCGGGAGTTCAGACTGCAGGGTTGAAGGTTCCCTTGTACCCCTTGATTTAGGTTAGGCCGTTGTAGGCCTTGAGGCCTTTAGGGTTTTTTATTGAATTTAATGTTATCGGCGGCAAGAAAAGCTCGAAAGCCCGAACGCCAACGACGGATCGAGGCGGAGCTTCGCGTGCGGCTGACAGCCCTGGAAGTCCCTACGAAGGTCCGTTGCCGGCTGAGGGTCTTCTTCGGGGCTAGGGTTATCTGGTGGGGGTTTCATTGGAGAAGAATATTTTAAGTTTTGTTGGATGGCATTTTTCTGATTCTTCTAGGGGTATACATCGGCAGGACTACAGTTTCGTCGCACTTGCCTTTGTGGGATCATGCGGAGGCGGCGGAGTACCTAAAAGTGCAGTTTACGTGGCCTGGTTAGCGCAGGAATATCCCAATTATCCACGGGAATAAATATATACGACTATGATGTTCCTGACGGAGGACTGTGGTGGAGGAGTCTGTGGGGAAAGGGGCAGCATAGGCTTACTATGAGGACTCAGAACTTCATGAAGGGTTTCCTGGCATGTTTTTTGCCAGGGTGTTTTGGAGCGTTATGAGATTTTGATGGGCTTCAGGGGGTGAGTTCGTGTTCTGGGATCTACAAGGTCTTTAGAAGAGAAGGGGTCATTGTGGTTTGAGGTCTGATGGACAGGTGTATGTGAGCTAGGAGGCATGGGTTGTTTGTCTTGTTCTGCGTGAGGATATCAAAACTATTTCAAGACTTTGGGTCAGGGTACCGGGATGAAGTATAGGAGCCCAAGAATTTCAGCAGCCTTTTGCGGTGTATTATAGCAAGGTGCAGTTACGCAGCGAGAACAAACGGACATTACTACTGATTATTCATACGCTTCATATGTCACCGATGTGAGAGTTGAGTTTAGGTTTTGGCGTTGGCGTTACTGCTTGGGTTCACCGGCGAGTACAGGCTCACAAGCCTTTGGGTTTGGGGTACTGGATTTGAGGTCGAAGGTTCAAGACCTCAACATGGCCAGGGTGCGCCTGCCAAACCGCTTGAACTTCCGTCAGAACCCCAAGACGCGAAAACAGCCCCAATCCTAACACCCGATAGAAAACCTTATGACACCCTACTGTAAACCCAACGCAAACCTTCTTGAACCGAAAGCTGTAAACTGTAAACCCAAAAATGCCTTCTTTCACAGCCAAACCAAACGCATGAAAAGAAACCTGCTATGGACAAGCAAGAGCCGTAGAGCCCGAGACTCCGAAACCATTAGCAATTTCAGGTATTCCTTAAGACGGCAGGGTTTTGTAGAGTTTCGTAAGGGCCTTGTTTCTATTCATTACAGCTTACCCTGAAGCCATATTCGTTTTCGTAATGCCCTTATCTTACAGACAGCTACTAGGCGGCTTTAGGACGGGTTAATTGTGAAGCTTGATTATCGGCTTAGGCTTGGAAATTTCATCCCACGAAATGAATGTTTAACCCTGCTACGGCGGTGTAAGCTCCTGGTTTAACCCCATTCCAATTGAGGCTCCTGCGCTACACCCTTATTATAGTTGCTCTGAGAAATCAGATACAAGCTTTCCCCTCCTCCCAGCAACACGTTGAAGCCCCAGAATGCACGAAACCTTACAACCTCAACAGCCCGAACCCCTCGCTCGGACTAAACTCATATAATCCTCCGTAAACACAGATCAAAACCGCGAAAACTTGAGATACCGGGATACTAAACCTCTAGGAAAATTGTCATATAGCCTCATACTTAGGGCGCTTGAAACGGTTCATAAACCTAAACCAACCCTCGCAAAACCTCACAAAACCCCTACACAACTCCTCAAGCACCCACAAAATGTACAAAACGTACAACACCCCACATGGAATCCTGCATACCAAACACCATAGTAGAAGCATGTACAGGCCCTAGAAGCCTCATTGCACAAGACCCACAAAAAAAAATCCTCTTCCAGCCTGTCAAGCCCTCTAACACCCCAAGCCGTATGGCCTAAATAAAGCCACCTGAAGCCGTCTCCAGGCCGACGGCCTCAGCCGCTCAGTAGATCTCGGTGACGGTTTTGCGGGCCAGGAGCGCCAAGAGTTGGTAATTTGGTTTGTTCTGTCTAGGTCTTAGGGCTTGGAGTTTGGGGATTTAATTAGGGCTTAGAGTTTGGGGTTTAGGTCAAGAACCAAGTTTGGAAGCGTTGGTGTCCGATATGGACGTTATTTGCACGCTGTGTTCACGGCTTAGAGTCAGCTATTGACGTTTGGGTTTGAGGGTCTCTGAAGCCGCGAAAATAGGCGCTGGAATAATTAGTAACAGTATTCTGAACTTGGGGGTTCCCTACCATCAGTACTGAAGAGTGAAAGACCTTCCGAAGTTGTCAAGGCTTTGGTAGCAACCCCGGCACCGAAAACGTGACCACCAGCAATCGGCAGGGGCGATACTCTATACACAGCTGCAAGCAGAGAACCAGACCCACTCCCCTGGATGAAGCAACAAGCTTGCAATGAAACTATGTTTATGTTATTGCCTTTTATTGGTGTTCTTATTGTCGTTATCATTGGGGATCCCTCTGTAGTTTTCCATGTAAAACGTAAGTACGCAAATAACAATTTTAAACAACCAAAAAGGATGTATGCATATATCTCTATATATATATATGTTATTTGTTTATTTATTGTAAACAAATACACAAGAGTGTGTGTATATGTATATTCACACACAAACGGGAGGACAATGTCGGAGGACTGAACAAGAATTTGGACGCAAGCAATGCTGGACGGCGATGCCGGTGACCAGAATGCATAGTGGCTTTTCGTTTTGCTGTGATGGCTGCCACTTTCGTTTACTTTCGCACAGCGGACGAGGAGATCGACTTCCTGAAGCAGCACCTGAGCAGATTGCAGCAAGGCGTGTGACCAGCGGACATCAACTAATTCTTTCTTGAGTGCTGGCGTATACGGTATACGTTCAGTGTGTCCTTGATAAAGGTCTTGGAGCTTCTGCTGCATGTCACATCACAGCCGCAACCATGCCTCCTCAGATACGACGTTCTCCGATCGGTATTAAAGGCGTCTGAACAAAGTAGTGGGAGGTCTCTCTTCTTTCTTTTCTCGTATCTTGCCTTGTAGCATAACCCCACCCCCCCCCCCCTCCCCCCAACCCCGACACGGAGCCCACATCAACTTTGCAGGCTCGGTGCAGAGCGGAGCTGCCCTGTCAGAAATGCAGGCTCGCTTGGAAGGCGAGACCGATGCATTCACCCACGTACATCGATTTCGCAGACAGGGTAGCATAAGGGGTCATAGGGGTAATGTTCGCCGACATGTCTGAAGCTCTGTCCCAAGGACTCCTTTGGGAAGGAGTTTCTGGAGATGTCGGAGTTTACGGTTCAGGGCTCGAGCTGAGGTCAGAGATCATTACTCGGTTTAGGCTTTGGGGTGTACAGGTTTAGGGTTTAGGCGACAAGACTCGTAAGGAACACCCTAAATCATCGGAAGCAGGTCGCCCTTTTCTGCCCATGTTCTTCACGCATTTTTCCATACTCCAAGTTGCGCTTTGACCTATACAACCATATAAACCCTGCAAAAAAGGCAGACAAGAGGCTGTAAACCATGCGAGGCCTAAAAGCAAGCCGTGACCCAGACTGCCATGCCTGAGCAGGGGAAAGCGCTACACGTGCTGCAGCCTGGAGCTCAGGTTCACGGCGGGTGGACCTGGGATTTGTATGGATACTTTCAGCTACGGGATTCAGGGTGTAGGACTACGGAGGAGCTGTGGAACTTGGAGCGCCCAGGCTGCATGCAGTAGCGTAAGTAGCTTTCAGCAAAATGAAACAAAAGCAGACCCCGTGCCTGGTGACTTGCGAGGGCGCGTCACATCTGCCAGGTTGCCTTCACAGCAGCTGATAGATTGATATATAAGATCGACCTGAAGACAGACTGTGGGTTGGAACAGCCTTCAATGGCCAAACTAAATACCCCTAAATACAAATCCGCCGACACCTTCTGTCTTACACTCTATAGCGCCTGCATCAGCCGCAACATGACTTCTTGCTACGTGTGTCGGAATTAAGGTTAGTGCATACTATGCCATATGGTCTCAGTTCCTTAAACCTCAGCCCCTAGTCCGTAAGGCCTATGCCTTGATACCCCCGAAAGCCTTCCTTTCAGCACATCTCCTCCCCCGAGGCGCAGCAGGAGCAGAGTACTCGCTTGGAGGCCCTGAGCCAGGCGACCGCTTAAACCCCCGTGAGTCTGTGGGGGTTTAGGGCTTAGGGTTTAGGGGGTTTCCACAACCCAAAAGGTAGTACCTCTTTCTAAGAGGGCCCCTGTATCACAACCTTGGCAACCCAAAAGGGCGGAAAGCCTGTCACGCGCCATGTAAAACATCGGAGGGTTTTGGGATCTTACGGTAGAAGCATGGTACTATCTGGGGGGTCATTATTACTAACTGCTCCTAAACAAAACCCGGATAACACCGTTCTGGAAACTCTTTACAAGCCCTCCTAAACCGGATAAAAAGGCCGTCTCCAATCTTTGCCTGCAGGCCCTGGGCTTCTCAAGGGCACTCATGGCCCAATCCATCGCGCAGCGCGTGGAGGCAGAGCTTCTCTGGTTTAGAAGGGAGTCATTTATACCGGCTACTGTCAGGCTTTTCAAGAGGCCACAAGGAGTTCTGTAAACGCTTTAGGATTTAGGATTGGTGTTTTCGGGTTTCCGGGACGCAGCTTAACGACCTGGAGCATCCCATGCGACGCGAACGTGCTTGGTACTACCAGCACACATGCGCGCGATCCGAAGTCTACAGGATGCTACAGGTGCGTTGAACTAGACAGCTTAACTAGTCAAATTTCATCCTCCCCCAGCAGAATCACGTAAAGTTGAGAAAGGGACACACCATCAAACCCAAACCTCACACAGCCAGACACAGACTTCATGAAAATTACACAGGCCTTCTACTTGTATCAGACCGTAGCCGTAGCAACGGAATCATCGTGAATCCTCTATCAGTGTACAACCGGCGAACTGGAAAACTTTATCCGCTGTGAATCCCACCCCGAAAGGCACTGGAAGAGCGCATGGGAATGGAGCGCAAGGAGCTGTATGTTTGGACCTTGTGGGTATGGCACTGTGCAAAGCGCTTCAACGAACCCCTGGTTCTTCGAAGGGCTCTAAACAAAGGAATCCCGGTGTTTTGAATAGTTGTGTGGAGCCAGGGCTTCTTAAATGGGTTCTTACATTAGCCTTGATTGGTGATTGCGCGTTCGTGCCGGATGTTTTATTTGGGTTAAGGCTGGTGGCGTTGGGATTTCGGAGTTATTGTCACACCTTGAGGTGCCAGAGCAGCAGGTGTTGCAACAGGCGACTTGGACCCTGAAACCCAAGCTCAAACCATATGTGGGAGATGTCGGCACGGCATGCGCCCGGTTCCTGTAGCCTGCAACACAAGTGCCTGCACACATGCATGGGTGCGCTCTCCATCCTTTGTTCGTGTGCGTTTCTCGCTGGGCTTGAATTATTAGAATTAGGTCCCAAGTAGGCTTGAGCCGGTTCTGAGATTGTTGTCTTTATGTGTCAGGGGAGCTGCCAGGGCAAGCCTGAACTAGCAGGCTAGCATCCAGGTCTGCAGCCTGCACTAGTGTAGAAGCACAAAGCTTGATTGTTACCTTTGCCGTGCTTTCCAGGTTTCTTTTAAAACGTCATAAGTGGCCGTAAATCTTTCTCGCGACCTTCCCAGGCCCGACATTCCCGCCTGCGTGACGAAGTGACCACGGAGGGCCAGGTGCGGGAGTGCTTAGAAAGTCCAGGGCTCAGGGTTCAAGGTTTTAGGGTACGTGTAAAGTTCGGTTTAGATTTTCAAGTTTGGGGTTTGGGTTTTGCAGATTGAAAAGCACTTTTTTTCTAGAACAATGGACCAATGGAAACCCTGGGCTCTGACACCCTCAGCCCTGAAGTACGAAAGCAGCTTGGATTGGAGTACTTGTGCTCTACCCCTCTTGATATCGAAGCCTCAACAGTTACTAATCTAGCATCTTTCATGAGACGACCTCTTCGTAAGGACTGTCATCTCGATTCTTCGGGAGAGTCTCCGGCGCCTGAGCATAACGGCTAATCACCAATGGTGGCCTCGACAGAAATACTGCTGCGTTGATCAGAATATGCATTGAGACTGAATGTACGAATTTGCCACAAGAAGTACAGACAGGCTTTTGGGGCCATCACGGTAGTGGTGACGATGATAGCAAGAAGGGCTATGTTTATTGTCGTTGTTGCTTCGTCGTCACCATCAAACAATCGTTCATAACTTTGCCGCCGCCACCACCACCACCACCATCATCATCGTCCTCATCACCACCATCATCTTCCTCACCAATCAAAATCATGGCCATAGTCGCCATAGTCATCTTCATTAGTCATCTTATTGTTGTCATGATGATGATAATACTGGTGATGATGATGATGATGATGATAATGGTGATCATGATCATGATCATGATGATGACGATGGTGATGATGACCACCACCACTATTGCGAAAAACAGGATCTTGAAAGCAACTTGAAGATCAGTACCCCTTAAGCAGGTATCTCTAGCGGCTCAACAGCCCAGAAGTGTTCAAACCATCGCAAAACCCGGCGTTTTTACGACCCTTATGAGACCCCGCCCTCCTCAACAAAATTCTTAAGCAAACCCCTTAAAAAGGTCCCAGAAAGTCATTCTAAAGATCGCCTGGTGCGCAGGAGGGGAGCCTCCGCCTGCAGGAGGTGTCAAGCAGGCCGCACACTAAACCGAAAAAGAGCCTTATGACCTCTAACTTCAAGGGACCCAAACCCATGGGGCCACAGGGATCGCCCTAAACTAAGCATAGCTAGGCCGATTGAACCTTTAACACCGATGCGGGTGGCTTTAAACCTCAGACAAGCCTTAGGGATATAGCCTTAAGCCCATGACAGTCCTACATCCAACGGAGATTGGGGTATTGGTGGTTTTCGGTTTAGAAGCCTCTCTATAGAAGGTTTGGGGTCTTAGTGTTCTGGGACCCTTAGGAGACACCCTTGAGTGTTTTGGACTTGAGGGAGGAATTCCAGGGACCCTGAACCACTCACAGTTTCGGGGGCTAAGGGCCTTTAGGTGCCCTAAATCAACCCTGGACTGGAGGGTTGAGTGCCTCTGGGTTTTCGCCCTAAATCCTCATGTAAGGGTTTCCCAAACCCCTAAACCTTCCGAGTGGAAGGGTTTAGAGTTAAGACTTCAGGGGTTTCTCCTTGAAGGTTCCACTCCGCGGTCGAATCGCTGGAGAGGCGCTGCCAGACGTTGGAGGCAGCAAAACGCTTAGTGCTCTTTTTTTTGTGGTAAGGTCCCGGGGAGGTGCCAATAAGGGCTCGTTGAGGTGTTCTATATCAGTTTCGGGCAAAACTTCGCGATCGCTGGAAATGTGGGGCCAACTGTCAGTCCAAAGAGCGGTCATCACCAACCCCAAAGACTATGCGGACACCTTGCTGTTTACCCTAAGGGGTCCAAGTACATACATAGACAATACTTTGGCCTTTAAGTATGGGAAGCCTTCACGGCCCAAGTGCAGACTATATGAGTATGCTCCTTGAAGCCCTGTACTAAATCCTGATCAAGCTCAGTAAAACCCAGTACAACCCTAATCAAGCCCTGAAGAGAAGACTTGAAGAAGCTCAACAAACCTTGAAAGGACTCCTTGAAAAGTGTCTAAGGCCCCTGAGGGCTATCCTTCAGCCAGAGCACTGAGGCCAAAGAGGAGATCCAGCTTCGGCTGGCGGAGACGCAGCCACCCTCGCAAGTTTGTTAGAGTCAGGGTTGGGCGTCGCATCTGGGATATCGTGAGGCAAGGAATAGTACAAGGGTTGCGAAGAGCTACTGTAAGAGTAGGAATCAGCGCTACGGCGGGATAGGGGTGAATGAAAATGATTTAATGGGTCAATAAAAACTGTTTAAGGGATCAACAAACTATTTGAGGGATCAAAAAGCTATTCCTATTTTATAAGCAGAATACAAGGGAAAAGACAAAACGGAACAACACAAAGCATAGACACCTGTCCCAGGGATCCCAAAAAACCCTACTCCAAGCAAAATCTAGAACGGAGGACGGAAAGAAAGAACGAAAGATCGAAAGAAACGAACAAAGAAAGAAATACTTAACAACAAACAGAAACACAGACAGAAGGACGAGACAAACAACGACAGAAAGAATGAAAGAAATAAACTAGGAAAGACAGACAGAACAAAGGAACAAGCAGCGAATTAGGCTAGTAAAAAAGAAAAGACATCGTTTCGAAAGAAAGAGATGCGCAGAGAGAAAGAACACGGAAAGAAAGAAAGAAATAAAGAGGGACAGGAAGATATACAGAAAGAAAGAAACAAACACAAACGAATGAAAGCAAGAAAGAAAGAAAGACCAGCAATTCAGCATAGAGAAGTTAGTCGCTTACTAAGGATCCTAAGTAATTATAAATGTACTTGCCTTCTTAAAAATTAGTTACTTAGGCCCACACACTCTCTGCAGACAGTAAGCATAAAGAACAATCTTCTGAAACCATCAAGCCGAAACCTTCTCTCCCAGAGCTTCATTTCGAGCGTTTTCTCAGGATGATACCGATAACGATGATGACGATGATGCTGAGGATGTTGATGGTGAGGGTGTATATGTATATGTATAAATGTATATGCATAAATGTATATGTATATGTAGATAGATATGCGTGTGTATATGTCTATAGTTGCATATGTCGTTATGTACATATGTTTACATGTGTATACCTGTTTATGCAAACATATATGTATACATATATACCTCCATATATACATATCGATAAACGCGCAAATATGTGTACATATATATATATGTATATATATGTACGTAGAACCTTCATGTTCTAGTTGACGGATACCGTTTCTTGTATTCAATAATATTTAATATTCAATATTTTTGAAATTTTCCATAAGGGAATATCGAAAATTTTAGGTATTCAAAAATTTTAGAATTTCTAAAATTTTCTATAAAGGAAACTTTCAAAACAAATCCAGGTCCTAGACATTGAGACGGTGATTTCATAAGGGGGTGGGGGCGCTGCCCGGGACCCGACATTATATATATATATATAGATATGGTGATGATGATGATGGTGATGGTGATGATGATGATGATGAACTAGACTTGCCAAATCAGGGGGCATGTTTAAGATATACGATGAACCGGAATCGCCAAATGACGGGCCGGGTAAAGGATGAATTGGAATCGCCAAGCGACGGGGCGTCTTGCCCGAACTTGTACATAGTTTTAAATTTTTGGTTTCTGCTCACCCCAAACAACCCTAAACCCTAAACCACTACCTTCCCGGCCTGCTATCTCAAGCTCGGCATCTTCGGGGGCGTCTGGTGGGCCGTGCGCCCGGCTGCCCAGAGGGTTTTGAGGGTCTAAGGGTTTAGGTTAGCGGCAACCCATTTGGGGTAGGGGTATGGTGGGTTAAACCCTAGACCCGAAACCCTAAACCCTAGCTCAGGGTTTGGGCTGAGTCAGCCTTAGTGGACTGAGTCAGTCCATTAAGTTAGGGATTTTGGGCTGAGTCAGCCCTAACGGTGTCTTGGGGCTTATGGTTTTCGGGGTTTAGGATCTTTAGGCAAGTGCGATGTGCTGCCTACGGTTTTCAGGGCCGGCACGCATTTATTGGAGGTTTTCGGGTTTGGGCTTGGGGTTTGGGATTTAGAGGTCCGGGGTTTGGGTCTTAGGGTTGTTTGGCTTCCTTGTGGTGTACCTAAAGATCCTTTTCCACCGCTAAGGAAACCTTAAACCCAAACCTTTAAACGCCCAAAAAACCCAAAATCCCCAAAACCCCCAAACCCCTAAACCTCCAATACTCAGACCATAAACTCCCTAAGCCCCCCCCTGCTGCCGAGGCTGGACCTTGCTTGGCCTCGTCGTGGTGGCGTCGTGGCAGAGGCTTGCTGACTTGCACCGGGTTTCCCGATGGGAGTTCAGGGAGGGTTAGTGGTTGGGTTTCCCAATTTTCCCTACTCAGATCGGTGTCGCCCGAGTCCAGGGAGTTAAGGGATGGCTCGGTACAGGGAGTTGAGGGAAGGTTTGAGGTTTCGTCTTTTGTGGTTTAGGGCGAACGGGGATTCAATTGTGGCGTTCGGGCTTGAAGGGTGAGGTTTCGCGCTGCAGATCATGAGTGCCCGAGGACACATTGATGCCGCTGGTTCGTGTCAGTGGGAGTAGCCAGACAGAGCTCCAGGCGCGGGTAGTCTGGGTCACTGAGTCATATTTTTAATAATGAGCAGGGTAACGATACCATCGTCGCCTGTATGTAATTGTAAGTTGCAGTCGTGGTGCAAGTTAGTTGGGTATCAGGTGCAGTAGTCGGCCAAGTTGCCCTATTATTCATATGTCTGGGCTTATAGCAAGAAACTCAGCCTAAGACCCTCCTGCTTCAGGCTATCCGGCCAAGTGGAGGGCCATGGCCTGAGCCGGAATCGCGTGCGGGCATTCTAGAACAGGGTTTGGTGACTGTCCGCTTACAGTATAGACAGATTGCCACACCAAGTAAACTACGTAGTGAGAATCAGAAGTTCACTCCGCAATCACAGTAAAATCGTTCCTCAGTCTTGATGCTGGCTTGCTGATCGGTTTCCGACCGTAAGAACACAGCCGGCGTTGATTGATCCATCTTTTCGAAGAGCACCCCGTGTATACGCGTGGCCCCGGCATTCTCAAGAGTTTTTGTTGTGTTTGGCCAATGCGGTTTCGAGAATGTTGCGGATCAATGTTCGAAATTTCATGGAGGGTCGTGTAGTCGTGTAGATGTACGAGTCCTGAGGGGCACATTGGTAGAGATTTTACTGTGCTGGTGTCGTGAAGTAGCAGTTTCGAACGTTTGGGCAGCATGGGCAAGACGGCGAAGTCTGGCCAAGCGAAAAGCAAGGCCAAGGCGAAGGCCAAGTCGAAGCAAACTACCAAAGAGGATAAGAAGAGTCGAGCGCCCAAAGAGATGATCCCGGAGACTACTATGGAGAAGTTCGACTTCCTTTCTTTGGCACGGTCAATGGCGAGTCAGATCAAGGACTGGGCAGCAGGGCGACCAGGAGTCGCAGCTCAAGTGGGCCAGTGGTTGTGATGGCTTGAATACCTTTGCCGGCGTTCTGACGGCATTGAAGATCCCGAATCTCCAGTTGCGCGGCTCAGAGAAAGCACCGGCACCTGCTGTGTTTTCCTTGAAGCGGTTCCAGCCAGGTCACCTTTATGAGGACTCGAACGATAGGGATTGACATTGAGATATCGCTTTTCATTTCAGGTTTGCAATGAGGGATCAACATTGTGACAAGACAAAGAAACCAGAAGTCGGTCTTAGAATCAGGACATCCGGGCGCCCATGTCAGCAGATGGCGTCATGTGCCTCCGTCATGGCAAAGCCTGCAAGCTTCCGGACAAGAAGGTCACGCTATTTGCCGCAGGGTTTTCTTGCAAAAATAACAGCGTGCTCAACCCGTCGAGGTTCGAAGAGAACCGTTGAGGGAGGGGTGTGAGACTGCAGTCACATACGATGGTGCCTTCGCATCCATTATGCACCTGAAGCCTCGATACTTCATTTTGGAGAACGTTTCCGGAGCGAGGCGTTCGTCGTCAAAACATGTCTTCATAACCTTGCGAGTGTAGTTTGAATTATTATTCAAATATGGCGCAGTGTGAGCCATTTTTCTCGGTGCAGGATGCCGGCCACGTCAGGCGCCAGTGACTCGAAGAAATCCCCCTTGGATTCCTACCTGGACATGCTCGGGACACGGCTTCCGGAGTATTCTGTCACCACGGTGATGGTAGATGCATCTCCTCTTCCGGAACGCCGCGAAAGAGTTTTCATCTTGGGAAGCCGCGCCGCGGATCTGGATGCAATGGCTTGGGGAACAGCCGTAGAATGCCTTCAGCGCTTTGCTGCTGGAAAGCCGAAGCATCATGTGCAGACCCTGCTGAGCCTCGGGGACCCCACGCCGCGGGATGGTGCTGAGGCAGCGGCGAATCAACCACTGAAGTGGATGTCAGAATACAGCAGCTGCCTGTCTACTGCTTTGGGGACTCTTTCGGAAAAGGGTGGCATGATGGCATGACGAATGTGACAGAGGAGACTGTGAAGGTCGCCGGCAAGCGCATCTCCGACCTCTACCCCGACGTTCTGAAGACCACAGCTCGGCTTGCTGCGACACCGGGCGCCAATGAGATCTTGATCGATTCGATGTGCAAAGCTGCTGCTGCGCAAGGAGCGCCCCCGAGCATGCCAAAGTTGGCAGATTTGTCGCAGTCCGTGGGGCGAGGCAGCGTTTGGATCCATGGAACGATTGGAACTCTCACGACATCAACGACCTACTTCTCCTATGACCACTCCTATGACCACGACCGCTTCGTGGAGCCGGAGGATCATTTGAGGATTTTGGGATGGGATGGAGAGTCGATCAAGTTGGCATCCCAATGCTTGTCAAAGGCAGATCTCCAAGAGGCTGCAGGCAATGGAATGAGCTGGGCCGCTGTTCTGAAAGTGCTGCTTCCCATGCTGATGCGCATGGGTTTTTTGTCCGATCTCTTGAAATGAATGGAGGTCGAGTCTGCTCAAGCAGTGAAGCTTTGATTGAAGCCATTGCCGGGGAGCCGCGAGTTAAAGGGTTTGTGCACTCAACACCTGCCAGCCACCGTAAGTTTGGTCCAACGGTGTAAGTAAATAAAGCCTGGGACTAAAACAATTCTCCGAGGTCCGGTGCCGGTGGCGATGCCCGAGCCCTGAGCTGCTGTGACCGACGTGCACCTGTGCTGTTTCTCAGAGAGAGGTTCTGTGCAACTTGAAGTCATGCAGCCTCACCTGCACATTATGTAGCAGCATGTCGCTGTAGCAGGGGGCTCAAGTTGCAAAATGTGGTTGCTGGTAGTGAAGCTCTTGACGATCGATGCTGAAATAGTTGATGGACCATTCTCAATGGCTTTAGAAGCACATGAACCATTCCGATTCCGGAAGCTGTACAGTATAGCCGTAAAGATTCAGGGCTCTAGGCAGTGTTAAACCAGTCTTCCAAAGTACAAGAGATGGTAATGGAGACATTTATCAAACGACATTGTTGTGAAGTGTTAATCATACTGTCAGACAGTCCCCGTGCCTCGAGCATTTTGTTCGTAGCATCATGGAGATCCTGTGGTACGGCAATTCAGTCAGCGTGCTGCAGCTTCTTGATCCGTCTGCAAACGTTACAGTTTTGGCAAAAAGCAAGGAGGAAGCACTGGTGGTGGGTAGGATTCGTTATGGGGATGCATTTCCCAAGGTGTTCAACCTCGAATGCTCTGAGGAAGGCGAAGCGACGAAGTTGCCGGAGCTGCAGAGCAGTAAGGCTGCAATCGCGGCATGCGTGCGGAACGAGACGGATATGGCAACAGTGATTGACATTGCTTCAAAGATGGACAAGATCTTCGCTGTTGTCATTGCTGGTCCGATGGTCCCGGATGACATTGCGCATGGCGAGATGACTGGCTGGAGCTGCAGCACTAATAACTAAGGATGTGTTGTGGGAGCTGGTGAGGTCAATTTTCGCAGGCAAGACGTCTTTCATTGCCATGGTTCGCAAGGCCGACAGAGCTGAAAAGCTCCAGCAGCTGCTTGAGAAGTCATCGAAGGATCACGTCGGTTATGAGAACTCCGTCTACAACCCTCAGCCGGGGAGTCCGTCTTCCACGTTAACCCCTGTCCTGCAGCAGCCGGGGGCCAATGCAGGCAAGCGGCGCTTCATTGAGGATGCATTGACCGAGTTGAGAAGGACTGGGGATGGCATTCACAGGCCCTTGTTCATTGAGGGCGAAAGACCAAGCGCCAATGCATCATGAAGCCTCCGCTCTGCAACCGGCGCAGCGCAGTTTTGATGCGATATGATTCGCAAGACTTCCTTCTGGGCCCCCACGAGTTTGCTTGCTACCTTGGATGGCGAGAGCATTCCTTGAACATGCACTTGCTCCCCAAGACTACGGCCCAGCAGATCTTGGGGCAGAGTCTTTCGAAGGGCGTCGCGAGCATCATGTTGGCAGTTTTGAATGGCGTCATGGGTGCCTGGGAGAAGTTATTACAGTTAAAGTACTTATAATTATAGGCGTTCAATTCTCAGATGAGGCAATGCGGCTAATTCACCGAGAAGGGTTCGTACGGTTGACGTTTGATACTATAATAATTGACACATAGTTTTGCATTGTCTTCGCCCAACCCTCCTTAGAACAAGAATTGCTTCCATAAGCGTCCGAAGTCCTATGAATGAACTGAAATACATACTGTGTGACAACCTTGCCCGCCCTATCTGAGGCAGAAACCCAGAAAGCACAAGAAGCACCGTCAAGTGAGCCATCATGCGATCCTTCGGATGGTATTTTGAGGAAGCCTGGGTTTCTAGTTTTGATTGCCGCAAGAGCACAGCGAAGTATCCAGCAGCCCGCACGTTCAGTAAAGAGTAAACAAGGCCTCAACCGAACTCTAGCAGCTTCGCAGGGCTTTGCGGGACGTCGTAAGGTGCTCCTTGAATCCTGCTTTTGGGCCGGCGTGACAGCTGCCGAAGGGCCTGGAGGGCCTGAGTGTATAAAGGAAAACCTTGCGCATGACGGCAAAACGAGCGTGGGTTCGGATCTCAGTGGTGGCTGGTGAAGGTGTTTTCTCCCTCGACTTGTGCCCCCGACACCAAAGCCTCGAACTTATGCAAACTCCAACACCAACCCGAAGCTGAACCGGCCACTGCAACACCTCATTCCCATGTTCATCGTTGAAAATACTTCCTCTTTGCAATTATAAACCAGGATTCAAGCAAGCCTCACTCCGTAAGAGGCTACAGATGAGACGTGATGACTTTCTCGGCACGTCGTCTCTTCGAGGACGGGCCCCGAGCATCTAATTACTCACTTGGCTAATTGTTTTGAATAGCGGAGCACCTTCGCCTCGCGAATTGGATTTTGAGCCACCAGCACCGAAGGAGACTTCATCGACATGGAGTCGGAGGGCGAATGAGTTGCACTCCGTTTGTGTGCTCGCATCACGATAGCCATAAGCAGCCAGAAAGACACATAGATAATTTACTTTCGGAATATAGCAATTCTTATAGTTGGGTTTGGGCGAGTTTGTGAAAGCCCATGTGATCGGCGTATGGACCCTTGGTGCCTGGAAAAGGTTGCTCATTGATGCCGGGGGAGCAACACATAGGAAGCGGTATGGTAAACCCAGCAAAAATTTTAATTTTTGCTGGCTGTCAAAGTTCAGTCAAGGCGTGTTTAGGATATATGACGACCCGGAACCGCCAAACGACGGAGCGTGTTTAAGATATATGATGAACCGGAATCGCCAAATGAGGGGGCGTGTTTAAGAAATAAAGACCCGCAACCGGAAAAACACACGCACCCGGGCGCAGCCGGAATGCTTTCCGGATCAGAGCCGAAAGGCCCTCCCCCTGGTATTGGCGCTTTTCAGGCACGGAGCCAAGATTGTCGCGCACGGCCAGAAGGATTTATACCTCGAGTTCTAGCTGGTTCTGTTGGACTGACAAAATGTTTGCCCTATGCAGTGGCGGGATTCCGGAAGCAAGCGGAGGGCAAACCCTGCACCTGGAACGCGCGTCATCCTGCGTCCTCTCTATTTGGCTTACATGTTGGGTACTGTTTCTTTTGATCCCTAACAAAGCTTTTTTGAGCTTTTAATGAGCCTGCCTCCTCTCTGTTTGCTTATAAACTGAAGAATCGTTTTTGTTGATCCCTTAAACAGTTTTTGTATCTTTTTGAAATAGTTGTTTTGCTTTTTTTAAATCAACTTTTTGATGCCTCACCCCGCTACGGCTAGAGTTTAGGGTTGGGTTTAGGGCTTAGGGTGTTTAGTGTTCAGGGTACAGTTCAGGAATTCAGGGTTTACGGGTGCGAACAGTTGGGGGTAGAGCTTACAACCTACTTTGTTTGTGGCTCTGTTTGGGTCCACTTTCAGGCCGGGTAGAATTACACCCCAAACCCTGCAGCAAAAGACTTGACTAGAACCTTAAAGGTTGAACCCTACCGATAGCTTTTAGATACCCCTGAAAGAGCACTCAATCCTGAGCCAATGGCAGGAAGTCCGGTCGAGGTGACATCGACACCTTGAAGGGGGCCTTGATGTCCACCACGCGGAAATCCCAGGAGCTGTTGGGGATTTGGTGCTTAGCGTGTTTGAAATTCGGGCTTCGAACTTTTCCGATCCACAAGTTATCAAGCTCTTGTGGGCTGTCGTCCCATGCCTCATACCGTGAATCCCAATCTCCAAACCCGACTCTCATCGACACACAAAGGTCCGCGACCCTGAGCGACGTCATGTATCCTGAACCCTGAACCCACCCCACCACCTCCAAACTTAAGCCTGAAATCCTGAAGCTTCAGCCCGAAACCCCTTGCGCAAAATGCCAGGAGATCCTTTAAGGACCCTGCAAAACTTTTCAGCATCACCCAAAATACATTGCATCTTATGGAGTCCCTAAGAGAAGCTCGCACATCCTGGCACCGTGTAAAATCCGCGGAAACCTTTCAAAAACAGCCTAAGGCCGGTGCAAACCAAAAACAACGCTCAAACCGTAAACATCCCTAAGCCCTTACATCGCGCCCACAAAAGCTCAACCATACAACGCTCAAACCGTAAAACCTAAACATTTCTGAAAGGCGAACTGCAGCGAAGAAACTTAAAAGCCGCTAAGCCCTGCACACAACCCTTGCAGAACTCTTATTGAGCCCTTATAGAATCCTTCACAACCTTGTAAGCTGTAACATAAGCCTTCGTCCTGTGCATTCGAGGATGCTCCCCTCTTGCTAAGGTTCAGGGTAGCATAGTTGTCATAAAGGTTTTTGCAGGACGTGTCTCATGGTCTACAAAGACTGAAGGTTTTAGTGTTTGGGGGTTTGAGAATAAGGGGTTTAGCTAGGTCCTGTTAGGTTTAGTAATGTTGTGTTTTCAACTTGGGGGTTTTATGTTTTGGGTTTAGGGTTTGTAGATAGGGATGTTGTTCGGGTGATCAACGCCTGGCTTGGGGGTTTAGAATGCATAGCTTTCTTAGTGACACGTGTCTTTTTGATTCAAGAAAGTGAAAACCCTCCAAACCCTAAAAGACAAGCTTTCTAAACCACACCACAAGAATCGAAACTAAAATCTACAACCAAGACACTCCCTCCGCAGCCGCCTCCCTCCTCCCAACCATCCGATCCTTCGAGCAGGAGCAGTTCGAGCGGCAAGCCGAGTCACTCCACAAGGTCCGGGCGGAGGCGAGGCGCTTTTGCGGTTTTGGGTTGATCGTTGTTGTTTTTTTGTTTTCTGATATGTCGGGTTAAATGGCGTACAGGGTTTGATGGGTCTTCGTTGTTTGTTCTGGGATGCTTTTGAACTAAAGGGCTGAGTAGGGTCTTCTTCAGGGTGCATGTCTTTTTCGTGTGGGGCTCTTCTTCCGTGCTCCTTGTTTGACTCTAGGGTGTCAAGGCGTACGGAGCGGTTGGGATTTAGGGTCTAGGCTTGTCTTTGTTTAGGATTCGCAGTGTATGGGACTTGTATTCTGTTTCAGAAACGGCCTCGCCCTGGACTTGCCTTTCTAGCGCTGGTCGTACATCGATTTTGTGGCTCCAACTTCAGGAGGCCGGAGGTTTGCAGCGAGCTTTCGAACTTCGTGATGTGATGCGCAGGGAGTGTACACGCAAACTTTCACTAAAATTTTACGCACTCATGCAATGCCACATAACCGAGCTTCCAGGATTCCGGTTGCATATTGGCAGGTGGATTCTGGTCTGCGTCACATGCGAGACTTGGTGGCTGACTCAGCACCCCATGTGGAGTGTAGAACCAGGACAGCCCCGGCATGCTTCACTATCAGAATACACTTAAAAACAATAACAAGATGCCTTGTAACGTTTACGGGAGAGGCTTTATCAAGTAGACAATAGAACAGTCAAAGTCTGGTTGATAATATGTGGAAGGCCGTCCACATACCAGGACCGCCCTCGTAATGTTGTAGTAGCATCATGGACGTTGTCCTTGCCTGACATGGGTCGATGACAAACTTGATACATGACTGTGCAATGATGCTTTTGACCTTGTGATGTATGGAACACAGGGTACCATGGTTGCTTTAAGCCTAGGGATCAGTGGCCGAAACTGGCATGCACACCGACTCAGTCCCTCCACGCTCGCTCGCGCGTGCTAAGGTCTCATCAGAGCACAGGGCTCGAATACAGGACAGTGTCCGCTGGTGGCTGTCTTGTGTTCAAGCACGTGCCGTTTTTGCATGGGAGCCAAGGCTGATTGCCAACGGACCCCAACTCTTGCCGGAAGCCTTGATGCGGCAAAGATGTTTCAACCAGAAAACGAAGTAAGACCTGTTGGTGTTTGCAATGCCCGAGACGAAATCCCATCACCAGATGCCGAAAGGACGAGAAAAGGCTCTGCGATGAGATTGCAGAGGCAAGCGCACCTTAGAGCCCTAAGCCAGATGCTTTGCGCCGGTGCGTTCGTCTTCACAGTCATCATCAGCAGCAGCATCCTTGGTATGTCACTCAATTGACTCAAGTGGAAGTTGCAACAACTCGCGCCACTCCTCGGGAAAGCCATGCTAGCAAACCTCGCGGAAGAGATTGGTCCGAAACCCTAAGCCCGAAACTCCAACCCCAAACAGGCTGCATTGTGCATGCAGGCGACGAAGCAGGCGATGAGCACAACGAAGAGCGAGCTCCAGAGCTTACTCAGAAAGCAGGCCGTGGTGGGTGGCTATTGCTTGCTGGTTCAGGGCCTGAGGCTTCGATGGCTCAGACGTGGTGGTGTCTTGAAATAAACAAGAGATTGTTTACGAGGGTTTTGGAAAGGCTCGATCGCGGCTTGTGTAGCTTGATAGAATGTTACCGGGCTTCTCTTGTTGGAGTATGTTGTTGTTGGGTCCTCATGACAAGGATCTTCCATTCAGGGGGTACATGCGGGTACCGGATTGTTGAAACTTGCACTTGTACTTCGAACCTTTGCATACGCCCTACCGGCACCCAGAAACGGGCAATCAACAAGCCCTTACGCTATGCAAGACAAGGACGCACGCCCAACTGGACAAGATCTGAATTTCATGCTAATCAGCTAACCCCAAACATTCTGAAGCCCGACACCCTGAGGCCTGAACCCCAAAGCTGAAAATCCCGAGCCGATCTTGCGAAGCAGTGAGCCTAGAGAAGAGAGCCAACACCCGGAGGCACGGCCAGAAAAGTGGCAAATGTCCATTGTGGTTGCCGGAAGCCCGAAGCCCTCAAAAACATTCAACCCAAGTTTCCTAGAACCGTACCATACCACGTGGTCTTTAAGTATGTAGACCCCAAAAAGAGCGGACTTAGTAAGTCCATATCCTATACCCTAATCAACACCCTCCAGAACCGTTACAAGAATCCTTTTCAAACCCCCAAACGCTCAGAACCCGAACAAAGACTAATGAATAGGAGCCCTCATAGGACAGCTTAAAAATCACCCTTACAGGAACCCTTATAGGAAGCCTAATAGCAACCCTTGGAACCCTTAGACTCGTAGCAGCAACAATTCTTGTACATTCTTTTGCTGCAGGCCGAGGCCGTCGCTATTGATGTGGAGCGCGTCCGCCGCGCCGGGTCCCTGCACAGGGGTCTTGGCTTCAGGGTTTTACTCCCTAACAACTCCGAGCCCTAAATTCAATCCTACAGCCCTCTGCATCCAGTCTGTAAGGCTTCCTGGGCAGGTCTTCTGACCGGCTGTCTTTCGGGCTCCAAAAGCGTGGAAGGTTTGGCAGGGCCGGGAGAATTATGAAGCGGGTTTAGGCTTCAGGCACCCTTCTTACAACAGACTCCCCAAGGACTCACCGACTATGTTCTGAAGGGCCCTGATGTTATTAGGGGTTCTTGACTGGAGGGGGGGGGGGGGCCTTGGGTTTGTGATAGCGGGCCGCTACTTTCAGAAACTCCCTTAAACACCCCACTCTAAACCCTAAACCTCCCATGCTCCAAGGCTTTTTGAGGCCCACAGACCCGAAGCCTTAACCCCTAAGGCCGTAGCCCGAAAGCCGGAGCCCCAAAAGGCCGTCGAAACTCCTGCAAGCCCGGATAAAGACTGGGCTTAGTGTTTAGGGCTTACATGTTAAGTTATTATGGTTTAGGGTTTATATGTTCAGCTAGGGCTCAGGGCTTATATATCTAATTAGGTTGTAGGGTTTACATACTTCATTGAAAACTTCTGGAGGTCAATGCTGACCGAGCCGATCGCCTCTCCCGCTATGTGGATGCTGCTCTCAAGGATGCCGGGATCCTGAAGCAGGGAGATGGAGGCCATCTAAAGGGTTCAGGGTTGAGGGTTTCGTTTACAGCACAGTAGAGCCGCTTAGCTGAAGAACTATACCTTCCAAGTACGATGAGTTCCAGCCGTTTCTAGCAGCTTGTTGCTCTTGGGTTTTAGGAGGGCCGCTGTGGCTTTAATAAGGTTCTGAGTCTGTTGATTTAGGGCTTGTTGCAGTAAGTCCCATGATCTTTTGCATCCTAAACATCAAGGAGATGAACGTGCACACCCGGAAAGAACCCCATGCTTGGATCCATCTATATGCCTCCCGTTCTGTGATGCAGTCAACCTCTGTGTCTATCTATTGGGCTAGGGTTAAAGGTACTGTCCCAGATCTTACAGCCTCAGGCACCCTCTTTAGCCAGGGTTTAGGGCCGCAGGGTCAAACTTTGGGGATAGGGTCACGTACTCAAAACCGCTGCGCAGATGCACTAAAACGAAGCAGAGCGGATAGAGACTTGCTGCATCTCCTAACCCCTTACAAGCCCAAGATCCAACCGAAGCTTCCATGTGCACTTCCCTGAACCCGAAGCCCTAGGTACTGTAGAAGCCCAGGCCCAGAGTGGTTTAGGGACGCCCTAAGCCTTCAACCCCTGCCTTCCGACCCTCCTGGCCCTGCCAGGGTCAGAAAAAGATGCCGCCGCAGGCAGGCAGCCTTTTGTGGGATTGGGGGAGTGTTGGGGTTTAGGGGTTTTAGGGTTCATAATACCGTCTAAAATCTCGCGGGTTGTCACAGTACATCTACAGGAGCGGAAGCTTGTTCTTGCAATGGTATGTAAGCATGCAGGCAAGATATCATTCTGTATCGGTGCATCATGTGTGACGAGACATATACATATGAGTGGTGAAAAACACCTAATGTACACAGATGCTTGCATTGAGCATACATTCAGAACCCATACGTAACACTGCATTGCATTGCATTAGGTTGCAATACAGTGCATTGCGTTGCAAATGCAAAGCAATACATTGCAATGCACTGCAATACAATGCATTCCTTTGCATTCCACGTTAAGACACACCTCAGCTGCTGAGCTGCAAACCCTACACCCGAAACCCACAAACTCTAAAGCCTCAACCACTACACACGCGTGGCTGCTGAAGCCCGGGACTCCGGAACCCCGACCCCCTGAGCGCTCTCAGATGCCCGGCTGGTCCGAGACCTCAAGGAGCAGCTGGCGGCATTGCAGAAGGACGTCGCTCAACAGGTGGGGGCTCTGACCGTGTTGGGTTTGGAGTTCTTTTTGGAGTGATGAGGGTCACGCTTATGAGAGTTTCGGGCTCGAGTTCTGGAGTTGCGCGCGTGCGATCAGGATTCGTTGAAGTGCTAAATTGTTGGCATGCTTGCGTGTGATATCCACTCGGCAACAAACAGCAGCAAACGCGAAGGAGTTGATAGGAAGGTTTGTGTGTGTGTGTGCGCGCAGCCGCCGCCGCTCACATCACCTGCTGCACACTTTGACAAAGGCACCTTTAACGAAGCGTGTGTTTTTGTGCTTGAGATCTCTTCCCATGGTTGCATTGTCACTTGCAAGCAAGTCTCTCGTGATTTGGACAGGCGCAAGCGTTTGAGCACAGATCCGCGGAGCTTGCTGAGGATTCTTGCTGCGAGCCGCGTGTCAGCGGAATCCCAAAGAACAAGTTCACGGTTTAGGTGCTCGGTTTAAGGATTGAGGGTTCAGGGCTGACAGGGTTTATTAGGGCCTCTACACCAATCCCTCGCTTAACAAGGATGTCTTCGGGGTCTTAATGTACAAGCCGAATTTGGCCAAAGTGTATTTATCGGGTTCTACGCCATCCGTCTTCACCATAATGATGGCAGCGCTTGTGTGTAATTTTATCAGGAGCCATCTTGATGCCGAACTTAGAACCCCAAGCCCTAACCGTTGGCTGAGAGGCGAGGCTAGAGCACCTGCCAAAGCCTAGACCGCTTTGAGCTGACTGCAGGCCTTTCTGGGCATCAGGGCAAGACCCAAACACCCCCAAACCTTGCTTCAACTGCAACCTACTTGTCTGCGGGTGGTACAACATGCCCTGATGCTCAAAGTGTGTTTGGAGCACTGGGATCCTTGCATTTGCTGCCCTCAAAGAAATAGAAGGAGTTATGAATCAGGCTTTACATGCACCCCTACAAGACCTTTCGCAATCCTTTTGAACCCCTCCATGAACCCTGATAAAGATGTCTACTCGAGAAAGGCTCCTTTTTTGTCCGCACTCGTGCAGGAGCTACGATCCAAGCTGCAGCGTGGAGCAGAGTCCCAGAAGGAGGAGGACCATGCACGGGCTTAGCCCTAAAAGCCTGAATCTTCAAAGCCCAATTCCTAGACCGTTACGAACCTCAACAACCAGATTAAATGGCGATAAAACTCCAAAGGATGCTCTTAAACGGTTTTAACCCTCCAAGTACGCCAGGCCAAGCTGTTTCGCCGAGAAGCCGAGAAGGCGACAGCCGCGAAACGGTTCAGGGTTCAATAGCGGGTCCTTGAACATTTTAGGGGACTTAAAGAATGTTATTTGCTGTAACTCAGACCTTCATATTAGGGGTTAGGGTCTTTCGTGTCGGGGTGGGGAACAGGTCTTTTATTCGGAGATTGAGAAGATTCAGTCCGTTGTTTAAGGCTCTGGTTCTGTCGGTTCTGTTAGAGTTGAATCCATTTACACTGCTTTGTGGTGCCGCAAGTTTTCTAGACACCCACAATGAAGCAGAGCACCTCTCGCCTCTAGGTAGCAAACCTTACCCCGAAAGCCTTCACAGCCCTCCTAAACGCTACACCATTTCCAACGCGTAAACACCAGAACCCCTGCACTCTAAGCCCCCAACGCCTAAATTCCTGCGACCACAAACCTAGATTCTTCAACCCTAACACCCCTAAACCCCCAAACGCCTCATGCTCTAAACCTGATCATCCTAAACCTGAACCCCAAGCCCCCCCCGGTGCCTGCTCGGTAGGAAGAATCGGAATCGAGAAAAAAGAACCTGCAAATCCTCATACAAATCCAACCAAGACCTTATTTAGCTCTTCTAAACCCTCACAAAAGCTCCGAAAACTCTCTAAACGGCAAAAGCTTGCAAACCTTGTAAACCTTTGTATAAGGTTCCTAAACCCTGTACAACCCCCCTTCCAGCAGGTCGCCCAAGACAGCGAGCGGAGAACCGTGGCACGGCAGGATGAACTGGAGGGGCGGCTGGAGGCATCTGGGGCAAAAGGGTTATTATGAAAGGTTAGTGTAAGGGATACCATTGGTGTTTCTATTCATATATGAGGGTTCCCACAAGGATTAATACCAGGGTTGCTGTAAGGGTGGGGCTTGGAGCTTGCGGATCAGGCTTTTTGTACAGGCTTGGGCTTCTTGCGGTGTTCTAGGGTTTCATATGGTTTTCAAGTCGTGTTAGATAGGTGAGTTGTGAGCATGCGGACGGTGTTGTAAAGTGCTATAGTATTATAGGTATGCTTTTGGGTCGTACAGGGGTTTAGGGCTTTAGGACATTAGGGATTTATGACTCTATGAGGGTTCCGTGTGGGGGGGGTCTGCTTCTTCTTCCTCCTGCTGCTGTTGTTGTTGTTGTTGCTGTTGCTGACGTTGTTGCTCACGTCACGACATACATACATGCATCCACATACACATATACATACCCATACGCACACGCACACGAAGCATAAGACATGCACATATTCGTATGCGTACACGTGCACATACACATATCCATAAACACACACACACATTCACACAAATACATGCTTACATGCTTACATACTTATGTACCTACCTACACACCTGCCTGCCTGCCTGCCTACCTACAGACAGACATGCACGCATACTGGTGTATACATCATATATCTGTTCATGTGTGTGTTGATGTTTTCTCGAGCGTCCACAAAGTGATTCGCAGCCTGCTTCAGATTCTGTGGCGCGCGCTTCGGGGGGAATCAAAGGTAAAAGGTCCCCTGAGTTCCAAATAAAAGCCCCGTTTCGATAGCTGTTCTGGCGTGATGTGGTTCCGGTTGCGGGCGGTGAGGCTTAAACTGCCCCTACACATTTGTCAGACCTATGTCCGCCACTTCGACAACTCCATCAATGCTGTCCAGGCCAAGTAGGAGTCAGTTCGATGCATCGCTGCAGCCAGCTGGCCTTGTTTTGCAAGTACCTTTTGCATCCAACATCATGCGTGAGCACTGTCCACAACAGTGTCCGCGCAGCTACCTCCACAATCTGGCTCCCTGTAGCTTTCCCTTAGGTTTTCAGGCTGTTGGGGCTTCGCGCTTCGGGTATGCTCCTGTACCTGGGCCTTATAGGTTTTGATCTGGGCCGTTTCCAATGCTCGAAGCGCCTATGCAAGGTCTTCGGGTTCATGATTTTAGAGCTCTATTTTTGGATGCTCACTTGCAACAAAATCTGTTTCAAGCTGCGACAAGACCTGGAGCTCAGCAGCCTCCTGGCTACTGGTATACAGGGCCGATTGAGGAGTACTCTGAACCCTTGTAGCTACCTGAAGTTACGGGTGTAGTTAGCGCAGTTGTAGAGTAGGATACCTCAGGTTTACGCTCCGCTGCCCTAGCACCCGAAAGGACACAGCAGTGATCATTTGATCTTACAGGCACGGTCAGCTAACCATGGTGAGTAAGACTCCGTAACATTCACTATCAATTTAATAGCTTTCTGCCCAGTGCTCGTGTTTGATGCTACTTATAGTAACGCTCTCTGCTAGTCCTGCTGCGCAAGCCCAAGATTGCACCTCAACCGAAGACCGTAACCTAAGTTTCAAACTTCAACGCCCTGAACTTAGGAGCCCTAAGCCCCAAACCACAAAACCCCCAAAACCATAAAGACCCTACACCCAACAGTGTTGTAGCCACTTTCGGGCCCGGTCTGCTCGTCCCAGTGTGCTTCTAAGGACTATACGCAGGGTGTCGTTGTAGTCTTTATTGGGGTCTTGTGGTCGGTCTTATGTTTGCTTTTCCCAGGTTTCTGACAGAGCACTAGGTCACTAGGCCTTAAACCGCTCAGGCCCTAGTCGAACACCCATAGAGCACTGATATATGCAGAGCCCTTGCAGAGCTTTCCCAGGGACCTTCAGAAAGTTAAGAGCCCAAGCCCGAAATACCCCCGACCCTTCAAAAGCCGGCGACGGAACCTTCAAAAAGATACAAAAAAAAAGGCCTCTTTGTAAGTCTGGCTTCTCATGGTTTGTGCTAGAACCTGAATATGATATACACCAAAACAACAGTCTAACTCCTAAGGTCCCCATACTAAGCCCTTATAGCAGCCCTTACATGAACCAATGTAGTAACCCTTGTAGTAACCTCGCAGTAGCCCTTACAGAAACCTTTATATAACTTATGTAGTATCCCTGAAAGGCACCCCATTCCGCCCTAACTACTGAGTTCATCTAAGTTAGGAGGTCTTTCTAACTCATGAGGTCCTCAAAATAAATCCCTGAGCAGGAACCCTTTAAAAAATAAAGCCTAACTATTAATAAAGTCCCCCTGAACACTTGGAGCGCTTTTTTGGGGGGGCGGCTTTCCGCAGGCCGCCGTGCTTCGACCATGGCGGGAGCCGGATCCCGGCCTAGGCACGCAGCACAAGGGAAAGGGCTTTAAAGGGGGTGCGATTTTGGGGGGGCTAAGGGGCGGTTTTAGGGGGTTTTGAGGGTGTTTGGAGTCAAAGGTTTCAGGCTTCAGGAGTTTTGGGCTTGTCTCAGAGAGCCCAATACCCCTCTGATTACGGCCTTTTCGGTGTTGTTTTAGTAGGGTTTTGCAACCCCTGAAGCCCTACACCCTGAACCCTGCACTGCCTAGACTCTGTAAGCCCGAAGCCTACTGTGATCTTGGTGAGGTTCCCGCTACAGCTCGGGCACGCCTTCCCAGGCCACAGCGGTAGTCGCTGAAGATAAGGGCTTCAGCTTCCCTCGCACAGGTTCTACAAGGGTTCCGTAAAGGGGTTAAGATCTGTATGGGTACTATGAGGGTTCTACAAGGGTACTATGACTTTTTTGTTGTTTTCAGGGTTTTGGGTTGAGATGGTTTTGAATCTTGAGCCCTAAACCCTAAGCCTTGTTGCACTGGCGCTGGCGTGGGAAAGGGGTGGTCTTCTTGCCGCACCCGCCCCACCGTGGGTGCCCCGCCTGTGTCGTGTGCTGGTCTCTCGGCTTCTTGGTCTCCCATATCCCTGCCATCCTCCTCTGCTCAGCAAGCAGCTAGCAACCTAGAGCATCGGGGCAGTCCGGGACCCGAAATCATTCAATACACCTCACACCTTTTAGTGGTCTAGGTCCGAAACAGCTCGACTCGGGATTCGCTGGTACTCTCCATCGTTGGAACACTAGGCTTAGGTTATACGGGAAAGTACAGAGTAAGTGTTTTTGGGATGTTGCCACAAGTAGCAATGGTGTTCCTGGGTGCCTTTACCAGGCCGCCGCGCTTCCACTCGGTCCTCCACCTAGCTGCCTAGCTTCTGTCGGTGCTTCGGGCATCCGTAGTAGGGCTAGGCGATGTGGGATGATAGGGGAGCTCTAATTAGTCAGCCACGCTTCGAGCTTCAAGTGTTTCAGGTTTGCGCGAATCCGGGCTACCGGAAAGCTTCCTGGAATCCTGTCGCCTGATTTTAGAATTCTTACTATTACTACCTCAGCAACCGGACATAATACGGTAGAGCTCCTGATCCCACCCGCTCAATGAGTTGAGTCCGTAAATCCTAATAAACCGCGGACCCGTAATTCTGAGAATTCCCTAGGTCCTATCTGGGTCACCTCAGAAGCTAAGGCAGACGACCTGAAGCAGCCGTGGCCGTGCCAGCGCTGGCCTGGCCCCAAGAGTGCCATGGAAAAGACTCCTGACCTAGGGGTCTAGGGTCGAGGGTGGCAGCGGCTTCGTAGGGTGTTTGGGCCATGCAAATTTTTCTTGATGCCTATCAACTTTTTCTGATGGCTACAGTCTGAACCCTAAACCCTCCAAGCAGTTTTTTTATGCCTAACATTTTTTTTGATTGCTGCCATGGTAGTTTTTTTTAGATGCTTATCAAATTTTTTGATGCGTCACCCAGCCCTAAGCCCCAAACCCTAAACCCCAAACCTTTACCAGCCGAAACCCCGAATCCCAAACGCATGCCTAGAAGGCGCAGGATGGTCGTGGACAGGACGCGAGAAACAGCCAGGTGACCGAGCAGGCACGTCCCGCGCAGGGCTTTTTTGTCACTTTTAAAGTGCAGATCTCGAGTCATCAGCATGTTGAGGAGAGCATCCCAAACACCCTAAAGTCTAAAACGCTGAGATGCTATTTTATGCTACATTGAGGGGCTCGGGTGAGTGCTACAGTACAAGTTAGGGCTTTGGACATTGCTTCCGGGTTGCCGGCTCCAAGGGGTGGGGGCTTTGGGTTTTGGGGATATTGCCTTGTAGGCTTATACGAGCCTTGTGGGGTTTGGGATAGCGCGTCGTCTCCAGACTCTCCTCTTAGGGTGCCGGGTTTTTCGGTGTCTCTGCTTATGTACACATCTTGGAGGCATGCAGTTACGTGTGCTATCGCACGTCCAGGAGTGTCTTCCTTGGATTAGCCCGATTTATGCCTGGAGGTGATGGCCGATTTGTGGAGACGGTTGGCGACCTCGGCCAGAGCCTCATCTTGCACGTTCTCCGGAGACTGCTTCTTTTGCCAAGAACTCAGGAAGTAAACCGGTAGCTCCTTCGGGGAGTGCGCAGCTCTGAACGCCATGCAAGCCGGTCATGCATGAGACCTTAGTCCGAAAGCAGCATCACATGCATTGGAATACCGTTCTGTATGTTGACTATAGTCATATTGAACTGCACAATCTTCGAGTTGCGTGCATGTGTGTGCGCATGTATGCATGTATGTACATCGGTGCATATGCACACGGATGTTCATGCGTGTGTGTGTGTGTGTGAATATATTTCTCTATATATATATATACATACATACATACATACATACATACGTGGCCGTGTCTTGACACCAATCATTGTATAGCTGTTCGTCGATCTGCGATCCTGGCTGTGACTAGTGCAGTTGTTGTTTGTATCAATGTTCTGTTCTACTTCTGCTTAGAACTTGTAAGCTGGGAGCCCTCGAACATTGGATGACTCAATGCAGAGGGTGCCAGGTTGTACATACTTAGATCGGCTCGCGAACATCGTGGGTCAGCAAAAAACAGATGCCCCTTATCGGTTGAGGGGCGCATGGGTATTAGGGTAGTGTCGAAGCCATTTCCCCTGCACGGGTCTTGTTGCCATTAAGAGAAAGCACTGCTCAAATCTGCACCTGCGGGCATCCGCAAGCCGCCTGATGCACAAGCTGACGCCTGTGAGACGTCTTCCGTCACTTAAATCTGGCTCGAGGCCCATTTAATGCATCCTGGTTGTCATCGTCGTCATGCATCGCAGTGACTACGGCCTGACCCCGCCTTTGCCACTCGACCACCTCCGGCTCAAATCCCGAAGTTCACGGCAGCCTCCGTCGTCCACTCCTCGCCGCCAGGACCTTGTACGTGCAGTTATCCGCCATCGTGATGATGATGATGATGAAGAAGAAGAAGACGGTGGTAGACATGATGGATGTGATGCGGCTGCTGATGATGATGGTGATGCTGTCTGAGGGCAGAAGACGATGCCAATGATGAAAATGGTGGCGGTGAGGCGATGACAAGGGTGCAAACGCTGATGCTGGTGATGGCAAGGTGGTGCTAGCCGTGCTCGTTGTGATGGTGGTCTAGGCGGATGACACTGGCAATCAAGGGGCAGCAGAAGACGTTCGATACGAAAGAGAAGAGAAAGAGGGCCAGAATAAGACAAACAAAAGCATTGTCATGGTGCTGAAGATCATGGAGAATTCTTGCACATGAGGATTTCTTCCCTGGTCGCAAGCTAAGCACTAGTGATCACTAGTGCAAGTCATAGAAACAAAGTTGGTGATCACCATCAGTCATCATCGCCGCAGCCTTATCATCACGCTCCGTCTGGGTGTCATGATAATGGTGTAGGGTGTTGGTCATCGTCGCGGGCTTTAGGAGTACGTGTACCAGAGCTCGCCGTCTCAAGTTGCCATTCGATGGACCGTTTGTCGGTGCTTGAGGCTTCAGGGCAATCCCCAGCAACCGCCCCGGGCCTTCTTGCAAGAGGAGGTTCCCCTATCCAGATGATCTAGCTTCCGGGGTTTGGCTTGGGTTCGTAGCATAGACCCTAGCAGCTTCAGGATAAGAGGGCTTCATAGTTCTCAGGATTTGTTTGTCAGTATGGCGTCTGCGTCTTCGTCCAGCCATCATCAACAACATCATCATGGTCATCAACGCCGACGGCTTTGTCATGATGCTCATTCTGGTAATCGTGGTAGTGGTGTTGGTCGCCATCGCTGGTATTGCGGTAACTTGCGCCAGAGCTTTCGTTGTCGTCGGTGTCGTCGTCGTCTCAGGTTGACATTCGATGGACTTTTTGTCGGTGGTTCAAGCTTCCATCCAGGCCAAGCCGAACAGTAAGAGCCAGACCGTAGAATGTTCCGACCGTGCGCCCCGTCACCCAGAGTCCAAAGCCGTGAATCCCAAGCCTAGAAGTCCCTACAAAGCCTTAAGTCCTGCACGTCTGCTAAGCCTGAAGCTCGAGAATAGCACAAACAACCCAGAAAGAGACCCGGGCCTTCTTAGAGGCTTAACTTTACCAAGAGATTCCCCTGTCCAGGTGATCTAGCTTTCAGGGTCAGGCTTGGGTTCGTAGTGCAAAAACCCAGTAGAGCCCTGATTTAGTCAGGCCTTCCTGCTAATGAAAAGATTATCATACAAATCCTAATACATGCTCAGGCCCTCACTCCTCGATCATGGCCGCTTCTTCGGCAGGGAGCTCGGAGAAGGAGGGCTGAGGGTTTCAGTTTCAGGGTTTTGAAAACAGCGGCGCTGCCATCTAGGCTTTGTTACATGGGTTGCCTTTCCATCTTCTGAGACTTAGAAGTCGTAAGTTTCAGGGTTGTTCCTGCAACTTTCTGTGCGCACAGAAAGTCAGAGTTTCTGGCATCGGATCACGGAGTGTCGGAGGTCAAGCCCAAAACTATGACTTCGGCTTTCGAGCTATGTACGATGATGACCTGGGGCCCATCGTGGTGTTGATGCCAGGCTTAAGCTTTTGCTCAGCGCGGGGTTGCGCTCCTTACATCGCCCTACACTCCTTTGGTGGCCAAGCCCTGGGTCTTCGGCGCAGTGGGCCCGGGTGTGTATGGTCTAGGTTTAGCACGCCGTAAGCTTTACATTCTTTAAGCGGTTGAGGTTGTAGGTTTTCGGGTTAAGCGACAAGCCCCGCATCCGAGACACCCGAACTCTAGAATTGCCCCAGGTTGCTTTAATTGGAATCTTGGACCAGGGTGATTTCCCAGGTTGGCGATCAGGTAGTCGCGGCAGTGGTTGTGGTGGTGATGGCGGTGGCGATGGTGAGGATGAGTGTTGCTGCTGTGTCTTCGGGCAACTTGCTTTTCCCTGCGTTTTCTGTCACTCATATGGCGTAAATTTATCTGTAAGCATATTCAGGCTTGCCCAGTCAAACGCAAGTGCTGCGTTCCGGTTTGCTTTACGATGCCTGTCAAGTCATTTGACCTCCATTCTTGCAAAGAGTGGGCACTCTTCGGAAAAGCCTGAGAGTCGAGATTGAGTGAGGATTGGCGTCGGGTTCAGTTAGCTTCGGTGTGTCTCAGGATCACAGTTTTCGATTGTAAGGGGGTCAGAGATCTCAGTGTAAATTGGGCATGCGCATACGTGGTTTATACGTACATAATAGGCACTCGCTTGCCTACTTACTGAAGTACCTGATTACTCGTCGCTATAGTGCTGTTAAGAATCTCCAGGCTTGCTGCCGAACCGAAGGAAACCAGGGCAAGCC